GAGAATTTGACCTCGAAGGCAGTGAAGCGCATCCTGCATTCTGAGAAGGCGATTGCTCAAAGTGGAATGTCTCATGTGAGTAACCCCAGCCAGTCGTATAATCACTAAGAAGCAAACAACAAAAACGAAGCAATGATATGACCTGGTTTGAAATGTGTGCGGCAGGTCCGGGTGAAGCTCCTCTCCCGGCTTGTGACACAGTTCGACGGGATGATGAAAGCTGACGTGCTAGACTTCATCCTGGACGACATCAGGACGAGGAGCGACCTGGCCTTCTCGCTGCTCTATCAAGAGTACAACACCTACCTCAGCCAGCTGCCGTCGGGGCTGCTGGACAGCTACGACCACTGTCTGTACACGCTGCTGTCCGGCCTGCAGGAGAAGCCTGAGCAGAGAGACGGGTGAGAGCACAACACTCTTTACTGCTCCTCAATGCAGCACAGACCTCCTCCCACTGTTGGCTAGCATTACCCAGCATGCCATTCAGGAGTGTAGTTTTATGAATGTGCAGTCAGTCGTGTTGTAAATATTCTCTTTCACAGGTTACCACGTTCATCCAGGTTTATCCTGTTGAATAGATAGTTGTGACATATTAAATGTTTTATATTAATGTTTATGATTCACAGGAGTCCTGCACCAACACTCCACAGTGCTCCTACTGGCCAATAATATATTACATCTGCTTGCCAATAAAGTGGCATTCATATCCATCGTCCCCCGTCCTTCATTCATGATAATGTCCCACTTTTTGATTTGGCCTGCGAAGGTCATAATAGAGAACTGCTGAACCCCGAACATGTTTAACAATCAGAGCAGAAGTTGTTTTGGTGATGTTCAAATTTTATAAGTAAAAACGTAAAACATAAAAGCGCATTTTAACCTTAAATCTCCTCCTATTTTGTTCACTGTCACACAGGGAATATGTCAAGGGCTTTTATTGTGAAAGGCAGGGACAGGAAGAAGCGCTTTTAATATTTGCACAGAACAAATCTGGTTTCTGGCACAGATATAGAAATAAAATTTAGCTGAATATATCTTCTGTTGCTAAACCCGCTTTCAGTTGAGTTACCAGCTGATTTTTGACCGTTTCAGACTTTTCACCAAACTGGTGCTGGAGGCGCCGATCATCACAGAGTCGGCACTGGAAGTCATACGACGTTACTGTGAGGACGAGGTAAATGGCGGCACCAGTATAATGCTCCTCTTGACTGACATGGGTGGATATGATGGCATATAGCGATGTGATTGGACGATATTCATCAGCTTGGTTTCATCAGTTTTATCTTGTTGAAATGTTAAAAAAACAAAACATGCATTGTGATGAAGCGCTGATGCGCCCACTTCTTCCATTAAAACCTCAGAAAGCAGCACCAAGCAAGGTGGTGGACCATGTATATACATCTATGGATTGTTGGGTTTGTTGGATTGTAGTTAACGTCCTGTTAACTGTGACCTGTGTTTCAGTCTCGGGTGTATTTGGGCATGACGACGCTGAAAGAGCTCATCGTCAAACGTCCTTCGAGGCAGTTTCAGTATCTGCACGTGCTCCTGGATCTCAGCTCCCATGAAAAGGAGAAGGTGGCGTACGCGTCTTCACCCTGAAATTCCCTCGGGTAGTGTTTTTAAAAGAAAATGTCATTTATTTTTGCTTTTTTTTTCTCTCTCTCAGGTGCGAACCACTGCCTTGGCTTTTCTGAAGCGCATGTACGAGAAGGACCAGCTCAGGGACTACATCGAAAAGTTTGCTCTGAACTACCTGCAGCTCCTGGTTCACCCCAACCCTCCGTCTCTGCTCTTCGGGGCCGACAAAGACACAGGTTTGCCTTCAGCATGCACTCAGCAGCCCAGCTTAAAGTTAGGGGTGTGGCCACTTTAACATTTGCCGTTCCAGCTAGTGACCACACCGTAAATCTGAACTAGAACTTTTTGTGCTGTTGATGCTTTTTGGAGCATTTTTAGCTGTTCGCTGTTTCTGCTTCAGTTTAAGTGGGAAAAAAAAACAAGCTTGCTAGCATTGGCTAATTAGCAAATAGCCCGTTAGCAGTTTGCCATTTTGTACAAATATGGCCACATCTGGCTACAAAAAAACAACATTATAGCAGCCTAAATGCTGACATTAAGCTGTCTAAGTGTGGAGTACAAAACCATCAGGAGATGTCACAGTGGCTAAGTCCATTTTTTATATACAGAGTGTGTAAGAGTAGCATTTTAGGTGTTTACTAAGTGAGTCGTTCAGACTTTTCTGACCTCCACTCTGTGTTTTTTGCTGAGGCAGAGGTGGCTGCTCCCTGGACTGAAGAGACTGTGAGGCAGTGTCTGTTCCTCTACCTTTCCCTGCTTCCTCTGAACCACCGGCTGGTCCACGAACTCGCCAGCGTCTACACTGAGGCCATCGCTGACATCAAACGCAGCGTGCTTCGAGCCATCGAGCAGCCTGTAAGTCACTCCTCACTTTCATTTCCTTTTCGGATTTTTGATCCGCCATTAATTTATATCAAGACTCAAAGTTTGTATAATTAGCGGCGTGGCTGCTGTAAGTAGGAAGTAATGCTCCTCCTTTTGAATATTATTATCAAGTCCTCTTCTGCTCTTTGTTTCTGTAGATCCGTGGGATGGGCATGAACTCTCCTGAGCTGCTGCTTTTGGTGGAAAACTGTCCTAAAGGAGCGGAGACTCTGGTCACTCGATGCCTGCACATTCTCACAGATAAAGGTAAAAACAGGAACCGCAGAATCCAGTTGAATATGCCCCCGTTCTTCTGCCGATGGGTAACATAATTGTTCTCCCTCCAATCAGTGCCTCCATCTCCAGAGCTGGTGGAGAGGGTGCGAGACCTTTACCACAAGCGGGTGCCAGATGTTCGATTCCTGATCCCTGTCATCAACGGGCTGGAAAAGGTAATGATTGTTCTTCATCGTCAGGTGAATGACGACAGGTGCTAATTTGGCTTTGTAGCTGTTCATGAACACACTCAGGGCCACCTTTGGTGTTTTGTTTTGGTTACGGTTTATTTTACTTTTTATTTAATTATAATTTTGAACCTTTTTTGTGGTTTATATATATTTTGGAAAACTGTAAATAATGACCAAATGGCAAAAATAATAATTAGTTAATGTTTCTGGTTATAGAGCCTCCATCCACCTTGTTACATTTCTATTTCGACTGTACTTAATTACCAAAAAAAAAGAAACGAGTAAAAGATTAATTTATAGCTAATATTGTTATTTTGAGTTCTCTTGGCCTCCATAATCGGATTGTGGAACGTGTACTATGAGAACACCTTCAGTGAACCGTTTCCTGTTAAGTTTGGGTTTTTTCAATCTGGTTTTTCTTGTTTTTCTCGTGCAGAACGAAGTCATCCAGGCTCTGCCCAAACTTATCAAACTGAACCCGATTGTAGTGAAGGAGGTCTTTAACAGGCTGCTGGGGACTCAGCACAGTAAGAGCCCTACATCACTTTTCTGTCTCGTCCACCTCCTGTGGTGGACTGAGATTTGACTTTTTTGTGTTTTGCAGGTGAAGGGAGTTCCTCCGTGTCCCCGCTCACTCCAGGCGACCTCCTCATCGCCTTGCACAACATAGACTCAATCAAATGTGACATGAAGTCCATCATAAAAGGTCAGTGAGTCCTCAAACATGAAGTGTCGGTCGTGGACAAACAAACCGTTGTCAGCGTTTAATCTTCAGCATCTGCCCGACAGCTACCAACCTCTGCTTCGGCGAGAAGAACGTGTACACATCTGAAGTTTTGGCGGTGGTGATGCAGCAGCTGATGGAGCAGAACCCCCTCCCCATGCTGCTCATGCGCACTGTCATCCAGTCTCTCACCATGTACCCCCGACTGGGCGGCTTTGTGATGAACATCCTCTCCCGCCTCATCGTCAAGCAGGTCAGCAACACTTTGATCTTGCAGGAAACCAGAGAAGATCATCTGCTGAAGCTAATCTTCTTCCTATTATTTCGCCCTGCAGGTGTGGAAGTATCCAAAGGTGTGGGAGGGATTCGTGAAGTGCTGCCAGAGGACAAAGCCGCAGTCGTTCAGCGTGCTCTTACAGCTGCCGCCCGCTCAGCTCACGAGCGTGTTCGAGCGCTGCCCGGAGATGAAGGCGCCTCTTCTGCAGCACGTCCACTCCTTCACGCCTCACCAGGTGACAGCTGCTTCCACATTTACACACCTCTGAACATTTTAATTCACCCTGAACTTCCTTTTCAACCCACTTTCTTTTTTTTCTCTCTGTGTACATAGCAAGCGCACATCCCTGGGTCCATCATGGCGGTCCTGGAAGCAAATAAAAAACCAGAGCCAAAGCCTGCAGAGCCGGTCGTAGAGACAGATGTAACAGATCAAGAGCTACAGGTGATTTTTGAATGTCTTGAATTAGGGCAGTTTATAAACATATTGGCCACCTCCAATCTGTAAAAATTACATTTCCGCCCAGCACTGCTGCTTTATTTCTGGTCAGCTAGCTTTTACGTTTTGGCTCCATTATCTCAATAATGCAATTAACGTGACATCTTCCTACAGATGGAAGCAGCTCCAGCTCCTTCAGTTGTAGAAGAGGCACCAAAAGAGCCAGAAACGACAGTCCAGCTGGAGCCCGTCACTCAGAAAGATGAAGAGCCGATGGAGCAAGAAGAGTCTGAACCAGCAATACAGGAAGAGACGCTTAATATCTCACAGGTAAAAAGGAAACTACGACAAGTTAAAGGCTTTAAAAGCGGCTTCAGCACCAGAGTTAATTTAGATTGCAGATAATACAAAAGGTCAGATGTTTGAGGTTTTAAAGTAACTATAAACTGCTGGGAATTGAGGATTTATTTTTATTGTAGTGCATAACTGAATTCAAGTTTGGTTAAAACTGAATGTAAGAAAGCAAAATTTTATTTAAGAGCACAAAGGAAACATTGTTGCTTGCTTCCAAAAAACAAGCAACAATGAAAAACATATAAAATAAAAGGAGTGCTAATAAAAAAAATAAAGATTAACAAAAGTCCTGAAAAATAAAATAAAACATACATATAAAACATAAAATTCATTAAAAAAGCAAAAATCTGGTAAAATAATAACTAGAACAGGAAGTAGACCACTGAAAAGGCTAAACAGGAATACCAGCTGTAACTTACAACTCCAGCTCTGGAAAGTCATAAAATTTAGTTCTAAAAGTTTGAACGTAGAAAGTTAATAACATCCTGTATATATTCTGAAAGTGTGTCAGCAGGGCTTAAATAATCAAGTTACATTGAAGTATACAGTTGAGTATCATCGGGATAGTTTCAGTAACACACTTCTGTTAAACTGTAGTGGTCCTACAGTTGAACCCTGTGGAATACCACATTTCCATGAGCTAAAGTTTGCAAAGGAAAAGCTAAAATCACAGCATTAGCTAAGATAAAATCCAATCCAGTACTAATCCAGAAAAAGACACTCTGGCACTGTCACAATTTATTCTCATGTCTTTAATAACTGTGACAGCGACGTTTCTTTGCTGTGGCTGGACTCTTAGGGCCCTGCATGCCATTTGTAGGTAGTTGTTTAATGCTTTTGATTTTCTCCAGGTGGAGTCGGAGGCTGAGACCCCGATACCTGAACCAGAACCAGTAGAGGAGCCAATGGAGGAATCTCAGCCCGAACCTTCAGAGCAGCCAGAGCCCGAAAAAGACACTGAAGCTGATGTCGCCACAATGGAGGCCGGAAACACCAGCGAGGATGTAGAATAAGGTCACTCAGTTTTCAGGATTTCTGTTTTGTATTTTGTATTTGTAGGAAGAATATCAGCTCATTTTGTGTATGAAAGCATTCCACGTCATAATAAGTTGGTAAATAAATCAGCACACTGGTTTAACCTAAGTTTTGACTCAATGATTCAATTACTGATCAATGTCATAAATCTGTAGTGCACCTCCCACAGTCCAAAGACATCCATTTGAGGGTTAATTGGCTGTAGGTATATGTACATCCTCTCTCTATACGTTTCCACTCCGGCTCAGACACATTAAAGGTACTTTCAGTAACCACTTTCTGCAAAATGTAGCTAAATATTCAACCACCAGGGGGCATTGTTTACCATTTTTGTTTTTAAAAAAAAAATACATTTAGCTGTTGAATTTTGTTTCTTTTAGCCTTTATTGTGTTTCCTTATGAGGTCTTTCCTGCTTTTTAAATACATGTATGATTAAATTTTGAGGGAGAATTGAGGAAAATCTAACATCCACATCTTGATCTCTAAAGAGCTGCATTGGGTGTTTCAATTTAAATAACTGCTGTAGGTAGTGGTTTTGTGGCATAATAAAATCTCTAGAGCTCTCTCAGTGTGGGCAGCTGTGGGAAGAAGCTTCCAGGCGAAAGCAGAGCTGATGTTCTGATATGCTTTGAAGGGAAAGGATTGAACCGCTTTGCAGTAAATCTAATTGACCACTAGATGGAGACAAATACAGAAGTTGCTTATCTGGGTTTGGATAAAAAAATGAAAAAAATTCTCACTGGATCTCTGATACAAAAGCATAATGAACTCAGTAGATGTTGAAGTTTATCTCAGCTTAAAAAATAAAACAAGCTTTGCAACAACATTTTACAGACTTGTGATTAACAGGTATTTATATAACGAGCATGTCCTAATTAATCCTCATTTCTGACTCCAGTCATGATCATAATTTAACTGGACTGAATGTTTGATTTAACTCATCAGGAACATGTTTTCGGAGGCCAAAAACCAAAGGGAGACATGGCTGTCTTCTCATAGACTTCTACAAGATCAGAAGTCTTACAGAGTCCGACGAGTCGCTGCCCCCTGCAGGCCATTAGAGAAAATGTAGCTGGCTTCTCTTTCATGTCTGAGTTTTAAATTCATTTCCAAGGTGTAATAAACAGTTGGCTTCATTCTCCTCTGTCCTTTTTGATGTGGTCATCTGTGCTGTGAAGATCCTCACACTCCCTGCTTAGAACTCCTCTGTACACCTCGAATCGATGGTTCAGATCTTTCTGAGTGTGGATTTTGAACTTTGACCCTAACGCCCCGTCAGCTGAAGTGACTCCGTAGAAAACCCTACCGATCCGAGAGTGAACGAGGGCCATGGCACACATCACACAAGGTTCCCTCGTCACGTAAAGGTCGTACCCAGTGCAAATGTACGGCTGAGTGCCGTTCTCTGTCTGGGCCTCCGTTTGAACTGAGCTCGCTGAAGTAAACCTGCAGGCGGGGTAACTGTCAAAACCATAAAACCCACCGCCCTGACTCCGAGCTACAAGGTCGATGACGACCATGACAGCGTGATGAAGAGGGTGCTTGCGTCTGCAGTCGTGGCCGACTGCAATGATCCTCTCCGTCTTTGGGTCGACCACCACAGCCCCGATGGCCTCCATCCCCGCCACGCATCCTTCTCTGGCTGCAGTCACAGCGGACGCCATGTAGGCGTGTATCCTTTCCTTCTGATGGCGGCAGAAGAGCTCTCCTCTCAGGGCGACTGTCACCTGCTTGTCCTCGTGAAAGGACGTGGGCCAGTGTTGGCTCGCTAACTCAAACTGGGGTCGGGTCAAAGGGGCACGAGCGGGAACCTTAACCACAAAAGGCTCGCCCAACCCGTTGCAATTTACTCCACCTGAGGGCAGCAGAGAGTCAATGCTAACCACCTGCATTTGTGGCACATCACTGACGAGGCACACAAGGACTTCCAGGGGGTGGGGTCTCTCCCTGCACGGCCGCACCCTCTTGACGTGCTGAAGGCTGCTCAGCGGGCAGAGGCTGTTCAATTCCCTGACGAGCCGAGACGTCTCCTTCTTGTCGAGGATGGGCGCAGCGTACACCTCCACCAGCTCGACATCCTGCGACTGCTCATCTGACAGGACTGGAAGGGCGACCCAGGAGTCGACATCACACGGCGAGCTTTTCCAGCGCTTCATCGGCGGCTCTGATTTCCCGGTATCGTCCTGTCAGCACATGACAAAATCTTCAGTTACTCATCAAACCTGGCTTCCAGCAGGGACGGCTCTCCCAGAAATCATGTTTGCAGGGTTTCCCTCCAACCTTCAATGTTTTAACCTTCTCAGTGTGGTGGGAGTGAAGATAGAGATATTGACATTTTTTCCCATAAATCAAGCCATGTTTATTAAAAAACTGCAAATCTTTATTTAATAAATAATTAAAAAGAAGATTATTATTATTGATTCAAAACCATCCTCCCAAGTTGAGCTTATGACAAATATAAATAACAGGGAAGTTGCACTTTAAAGTAAATATGTAAACACTGCCCCTTGTGGACAACCTACATATGACATCATCTCCATTATGTAGTTTCTAACTAGGAAACACACCTGTATGCACGTGACAAATTAAAAGGTACCGTGAGGGGTTTTGCATTTCTTTTATCTCTCGTTGATATCAACAATAAAACATGAAAACTCAAACTGACGTTCGTTCACGTTTCTTCATTTAATCAAAACTGTGTTTTTATGGATTCAAACCACCTCGAGTATCTCTGGGTCCACGTTGCTCTGACCTCCAAAATGTTTCACTCTTTCTGTTTAACTCCCTTTACGTGGTGGCGTAATAGCCAAAACTTGAAGTCATGCTTTTATGATCAAGTGTTTCACACTGTTGTGGAGGAACTTTGACCCACCCTTTCTTTACAGCGTTGGCTTCAGTTCTCTGGTGTTTGCAGACATTTATGCACAGACCTCTGACACTGCTCAGATGCAGCTTTGCTAACCTAAGCCGTGCTGCCGTGTTCTTTTTAGAGAGAAAAGGCTTTCTCCAGGTAACCCTTCCAAACAAAGCATATTTCTTCAGTCTTGAACTTTAACCTTTAGGTGCCTGAAGTCGGGTCCGACATGGAGCTCTTGGATTTTTTTTCTCTAAGTATTTCTCAATCTGACCTTGGAGTGAATGTGTTGGGATATCTACTCCTGGGAAGATTGTTGGATTGGATTAACACACCTGAATGCTCCAGACGATAGTTATTCCGAATTCATGTGGAAGTGATGAGGACACACTGAGTTTTCACAGCACTGTTTCTTCACTTTGGTTCAGTTTTTATTAAATAATGAGACTGTGTAATGTGTCATGTTTTGTTGCTCATCTATTTAAATCATTTTAAGACCTGCTGATACGTAAAACCACAGGAATGGCCGTGCATGTTTAATCGCTCTGTCCACTACTTCTAATGGAAGTTTTGCATGACCTGTGTGACTTTAAAGTTCAGCTCTTGAGTATCCGGCCTCTGCTGGACTTTTAAACTGTGTCTCACGCGCCTGCTGGCAGCACATGGCGGTGCATCACTTTACTAAGACAGACTAACAGACTGGTGGAGGTGTTTGTAAGCAAACCCACGGCGCACACACCGCGTATGGTCGTATTTATTTTCATCTGTCACATAAACAAACATCTGATGAACTCCCAAATAAATTATTCCAGGTGTGAAAGTGTATCAGATTACTTGATTAAAACATAAAACTTAAAGATTCAGTGGTGATCAGTTCTGCTCATTTTACACACAGATGCTAAAATCCTTTTGATATTCACTCGGTGAATCCATCTGGACTAAAACTCCATCACTGTGCTGTAGTGTCAGCTCTATCGCTCTTCATCGCTTTCCCAGCACCAGCTTCGTCTTGATGACCTTGGGCACGTGCCGTATGGTCAGAGACACCCTGGTGCCTCGGTTCAGCTCCTCACCCGGTTGCGCCCCGGCGGCAGACAGGTTCACCACCTTCTCGGTCAGCGTGTCCTGCTCGCGCCCCTGGATGCCGTGAAGGAGGCGCTGGTACATTTCATCCTGCAAGATGAGAAGGCTTCGTGGCCTCACCAGAAGCGAGAACAGGAAGCGGCTCTCCGCTGTCTGCGGTGCGGCGCCCTCAGTGCTGCTGAGCGGCGTATAGAAGTCCAGCAGGGTGTGAGAGCCCAGGCTGATGGTGGTGACGGTGGGGTGGTACAGCGGCCCATCCTCGTGGGGCATGATCCCCTCTCCTGGTTTATACTCATTCACCAGCACGTGATTGGCCGTTTTCCCACTGAACGCGCCCAGAGACGAAATCTTCTCACAGTACGTCTGGAGCCAATCGGGAAGCCGCTCTCCCAGCATGCCTTTGGGGTGTGGTAACCCTCCCCAGTTCTGGAGCCTCCGGCCAGACAACTGAGTCCACTTAGTCTTTGGAGACCTGTAGACCTGCTGGAGGAGATACGACTCCTCATCCTCAGATATGAAATCTGGAACACAATACGCTGTGGGCGGAGCTTCGCTTACGACAAACTGCTTCAACTCCTCCAAAATACATGCTGGGCGCTCCATGCCTCCTTAAGAAAGTTAACATGAAACTCATTAAAACCCAGAAAAAATAAATAAAAATAATAAAGCAGTCTTTCTGTGGTTCACTAATATTTATATTAAATTAAACTTTTTAAAAAAAAAAAAAAACTACGTTTATTAAAATGAATTAAATACATTTATTTTATTTTAAAAAATTACATATTCAGTTATTAAGTAATGAATACTCTGCTGCGTTCCCATGTTTTTTTTCTAAAATTACAATTGAGATTTATTTCCGTCCCCTTAGACTTAAACTTACTTTAAAATTCAGATTTTTATTCATAAAATGAAGAATGAAATCAAAGTTGTAAACTTGTGAATTTTAATCTCTGAATTTCTGTCGATAGAGTTAGAAAAGCCTTTTTTTAATCCGATGAATTTCGTCTGTGTCCACAGCCCATCATACACGGAGCTTCACTCAGACTGAATGATCATTAAAACCTCTCACACACTCAACAGCAGGCTCTGCCGTTTGTTTGTTCTGCAGTTAAACACAGAAAAATTCGAGAAAAAGAAACACGATGCTGCCTTTAAAATCGCGGGTCACGCGAGCTCCAGTGTCGTAAAAACTTTTTTCTCGACATCCAAATCCGATGATTTTTGGTCAGCAAAAAGCAACAACACCAAGCTTTAAAGTTAGTTTACGTGTGTGCGTGTGTGTGTGTGTGTGTGTGTAATTTCTTGTTAAATTAAGTGCTAAAACGGCGCTGCGTGAGTTTATGACTCCGTGAAAGAAAGATAGATAATAGTTTTATTTAAGTCAAATAAATTCTTATGAATATTGTGCCTTTGTAAAAGAAATCCTACCTTTCACATTAATATCACAAAAACCTGCTGTTTACATTTTTATTTCTTGAATTATTTACCGCGAGACAGAAATCCGACATTCTGTGTGGCCCCAAAAGGCAACGCAAAGGCAAGTTTACTGTACGGAAACAGGCGATTTTAAAAAGAATTCCGGGTTTAGAGGCTATTCGATACCTGCAGGAACTCTAAACGGCACACTGCGACGGAGAGCATGCAGAAGAACCTGATTTACCTGGTTAGACATAAATAATCTGATGTAAATTCCGTTTCTTCAGATAAAATCCCAACAGCCCGACACCATCCGCAATAACGCGTTTGTGCACCGAAATAAAATGTCCGGAAGAGAAAGAAGCGTCGACTTTTTGGACCTGTGCCTTATTTTTTCGAAATACGTTTTCTATTATTGAGTTTATAGAAATGTTTTAAGTAGTATTAATGCCAAATTTGTTGATTCGCCTTTTTGTTGTCAGTTTTGTGTTTTTAATCACAGAGTTTGGGGTAGTCGGAATTATTTACATGTAGCACAGCGAGACGAAGCAGGACAGAAACTTGGGTTAACCCGCGTTTTTCTGGACAGATACAGTTGTTTATCATGCTTCCTGAACTCTAAGAACGTATTCATGGCTTACCATTATGTTAGTTTAAAGTCTGGAGGAACTGCTGTGAAGTCACCCTGAGGTTTTAGCTGCCTGTCCTCACAGGTGTGACTAGTTCGGGAAGATGTTCCGCAGTAAAGTGAAGGCTCTGAGGCTGCTGCAGCTCGGATACACACTCCGTCACACTGCTTCCTGCTCTAGGCTGGTTCTGGGCATCGAGACCAGCTGTGATGACACGGGAGCGGCTGTGCTGGATGAGACTGGCGCCATACTGGGAGAGTCTCTGCATTCACAGAAGGAGGTGCATCTCAGGTAGGTGTCAGAGGTCAAGGTCACTGCTTGTTAGGGGCTGTAAAAAAAAAAACTGGCAGCGATCGTCATGGATAAACAGAATAACCTGACATGCTCTCAAACCTGCAGGACTGGAGGCATCATCCCTACCGTGGCCCAGCAGCTCCACAGGGAGAACATAGAGCGTGTGGTCCAGGAGGCTTTGGAGAGGGGTGGCGTGGCCCCAAGCCAGTTGGCCGCCGTCGCCACCACAGTGAAGCCCGGGCTGGCCCTGAGCTTGGGTGTCGGGCTTGAGTTCACTCGACAGTTGGTGAGGCGGCATGACAAGCCATTCATCCCCATCCACCACATGGAGGCCCACGCCCTGACTGTGAGGATGCTCCAGCCCGTCAGCTTCCCCTTCCTGGTGCTGCTCGTGTCCGGAGGCCACTCACTCCTCGCTGTGGCCCGGGGAGTCGATGACTTCCTGCTTTTGGGTCATGCTCTGGATGAAGCTCCCGGAGATACTCTAGATAAAGTGAGACCGTAATGACA